TATGAAGCAAGATCTCAAAAACTACAAATGATTAGTAAGGTGAGACACAGAAAGTGATTTGTCCAAGGTTAAGGAAGAAATCTGTGGCACAGTAAGGAAGTCCTATTAGATTTCTTGCCTCTTCGTCTTGTTCCTTAAAACCATTCTTCTAAGAGATTGATGGCAATTAGTCTCCATGGAACCACGACACCATTTAATGAATCATATAGCAGGAAAAGCCTATCTCTGAAAAAAATGTCTTTCCTGTTCCAGTAGTATATTTGTAATGCACAGTGACAGGAGAAGACCGGAAAAAGAGACATTTCTCCTGAGTGGGTTGATTAATTAACATAGATCCCCTGAATTCAGTCCAAGAAATCCATGCCAAAGAGGAATCCTGTACTGCTTTTCCTAACGGAGCTTGGAGCAGTCCCCCCAACACATCTCAAGAGCATAGACAGAAATCAACAAAGCCAGGTATGAAATTGGCCTTTCTGAGCATTAAAGACATCCTTGATGCAGATCATGGGCCAAAGGACAGAAATAGTGTTTATCAACTCAGGAAATGGGGATGAGGAGAACGTACAATATAAACATTATCAAAACTAAGAACAGTTGTTTTGTCTGGAAGAGGTGTTTTACATGATTTCTGCAGTTATATTGTTTCCTGTTTGATGAGAGATGATTCCGAAGTGTAAGCTTATATCCAAATTCCCAATTCGCTAAGGCTTAGAAGGGGTCAGAAATGAGGTTTATTTCACAGAGGTTTCTGCTAGTTAATAAATTCTACAAAGGTTGGTTTGTTAGGGACAGCTGAATGCAATGTGGTTTTTCTTTTTTTTAAAAAAAAAATCATATTACAAACACTCTTTTAACTATAAAAAACAACTGGCAGCTATTAAAATTCAACATTAGACACTAGATAATGCAGAAGTTTGGAATATTATTGAGTTTCCTAAACCATATAAAACAGATGATAACGGAAAAGGTTTGGGCAAGATTGCATTGTATCCATTATGTTTTTTCTACATAATCAGTATGGGTTGGTATCCATTATGGTTCACATTGTAACTCACAACAAAGTACTCAGTGGCTCTCAGAAACCCACATGCTACAGTTCTTTGGAAAAGTCCATTACTCTTTGGCAAAGTACTTCAAGACTAATGCGGATGCTAAAGTTTCTTGAAATTTTGTCCCTTCACTGAACTGTACTGTCCCTGTGCCATCAAGCATCATCAACAATCCGGCACTCTGTCAAACATCTCTCCCCTATCATTTTTTGCTGTCAGAAGTACTTTCTGTGCTCTACATATCCCATTTTATTAAACTATGTCATTTATACTCCAGATATCTATGGAGAGCACAACAGAGCTAAGTGAGGAGATACTGAGGTTAGTCACAGAATAAGAACATAATCCAAGTTGAAAAGGACTTCAGCAGGTCTCCAGCCCAAGATCTTGCTCAAATTAGGGTCAGGTTTGCTGTCAGACCAGGCAGCTCATGGCTTTATCTAGTTGGTTCTAAGAACAGAGCCTGCACAACCTCGCTGGGCAACCTGCTCCACTGCCTGACTGTCACCACGATGAAATCAACCTTCCCAATATCCAGTCTGATGCTCTCTTGCCTTTCACCCTCCACCAGGCACTGCTCTGAGGAACCTGGCTCTTCACATTGATAACCTCCCTAAAGGTTCTGAGGGATGCTGCCAGGCCCCACCGAGGTTGCCTTTTCCCCAGGCTGTACCAAGCCCCTGTTCCTCAGCCTCTGCAGCTGAGGTGCTCCAGCTCACCACCATCTTCAGAGCCCTGCCCTGAACAAGAGATGATTAAGCTGACTTCAGATAGAGAGCTAGAAGAGATTCATCAGTACAGGCCTGCAACCAGATGAACCAGTCCTGTGAAGAATGAGTACAGCCTTTGGGACTCAAGTGAAGCTCTCTCACAGTGTTGCACCTTCTATATATGATATGTCAAGCATATGTATGCAAGTCAGATCTAGAATAACTTCATAACGTGAATGTATTGAATGGTATATGTGAAACATTATCCTAATGAAATCACTCAACTATCACGGAATGACATTTTTCTTTAAAATGGTCTTACAATCTTTTATACAATCACTCTTAGTCAGACATGATGAACTTCTTTTTTCACATCCATTCTTGAATCTGATATCCTGCTATTAGTAACAGCAGTGTATATGTGCAAAGACATTTTTCAATAAATACTTGAAGCAAGAGATATCAAAATACAAGGTCGGTATCTCTCCTACCATCAATCTGCATTTTGAAAAGAAAAATAAATAGAAATATGTTTTTTTATAATGTGACTTCTCCCACTCCATTTCCACCGGTACCTTGTGATGTCCTTATCAGCACACAGTATATCTCAGGCTGGGAATTATAAAAAAAAGGCAAGGGGAAAGCACTGACTGGGTGTGGAAAGAACCAAATTTGGTAATGATATCAAAAGATATTTAAGAAAAAAAGGAGTATGAATCACCAAGTCCAACATTAAAAATGCAGCCTACATTAAAGTCAATGGCAAAATCCCTCAGAATTTCAATTTGTGAGATCTACAAGTGAGGATTTATATACAGATTTGAACCCAGTCTCAAAGTGGGGACATGCCTGGAGAAGGACTACTCCAATCCAATATGCTAGACACAGAGGCCAACCGTGATACTCAGAGCTTAAATCTGCCAGCATGCTCTCACTCAATAAGTATATGTCATTGTACTCACAACTTTACTTGGCAGCACAAGTCCAACCTCTGTCAAGAGCTTCAAGTGTGATGTCCAATTCAACCATTAAAAGACACATTAAAACCTGGCTTATATAATTAAGAAATAAGAGTCACCCATTTTTATTTTGGGATCAGTGTCTCCCCAGTCTCTTTAAGGAGAGACATTTTTAGTCTATTAATTTTCAATATTCACATTAATATCTTAATCTTGCTGAATAAGCAACCCTGCACCAGAAACTGAGAGCTTAGCAAAATTGTTCTCTACCAAATATAATATATTCAAATATAAACTAATTGAAAAAAAAAATGGTTACTATTTTAAATACTCATTGAGAAGCAGTTTATCTGCTGGAGGTCTTCTCTGCCCACCTTTCCCTGTACTCTTCAGATATATCACTGACCAGGACAATTCCAGGGTACTTCCATTATCTATCATCAACAGTAGCCAAACTCACTCATGCTCTTCAATTTTAGGACAGAGTCATGCACTGTCTTTCCATTGATATCAATAGGTCCATTCTGCTCACACTGAATGAGTGTCCTTCACCCTTCCCTCCCCTGTCTCTCCCTTCCCTATCCTCCCATGCCAGGAAAGGAAGGAATTCTCCTTTTCCTGCTCAAATATCCAATAATCATTTCAGCCATCTGCTTCAATACAAGAAACTCTTCATAGAAGCCCATCTAAATGGCAAGCCATTAGAGATTAAGATGATTTATTTTAGTTTAGTGCAATGTCACTGGTTTAATAAAATAAAAAATAACTAAGGATTTGGGAAGTACTATGGCTTACCTATGTAAAAACTTACTTTCTTGCCAATACATTCTATCGCTGCTGACAGACATTAGAACATTCCTTTCATCTCCTTCCTCTTCTTGCAGTTTAACCTATCCCCTTAAGGAGTATTTGCTTTCTCTAAGATAGATTATACATTGTATGCAACATGAAAACCTTACACACTTTCTCTACCATCTGCAAGGCTTTTCTGCCCACTTCTTTAAAAAGAATTAAATCAAAACCCTTATTAGTCTTTTCATTTTGGATAAATAAACCAAGATTACTTTTCTGTTAGAAACTAAAACAAAAGGATTACTATTTCCAGATATATGCATCTAAATTAGAGAAGCATTTTTGAATACAATCAACCAAACATCCAAGCCTAGTGGGACCAAATGTGGAATGCAAACTGTGATAAAGAGTAAATATGAAGCATACACATACACGCACACAAAACACCCCCTCTATTCATGCAGAAAACATGATCTAATATGGGATTGATTTCTTTCAAATAATCCTTTCTGCATCCCAGTGTGATTCCAGGATGTGCAAATTAAGATAAATTTTATGGGTCAAATTCTTCTTACCACTACAGTGCTCAAGTCAACTGAAATTGATGACAACTGGATGCTGTGTCAGAGGGTGGAATTTGGCACAGAAAATCACAATGTAAGGAGAAGATGTTATAAAAATAAAAATGACATGGTGCTTTGAATGAAGGAGGAAACAATTCTCAATGTGGCTTGGGAGAGAGAAAAGCATAGAGAAGCAGAAAAAGTTGACCCAATAGCTAGTAGATTGTCAGATAAGGCTCAGCTGTCAAAACAGCCAACTGGGAGAATCTGAATGAAAATGTTCATAATGGCTCTGGATGAAGCTAACCCCATTCCATAACTAACTCTAATGGAAGTAAAGCTACACCAGCTCCAAGTCCTGATCCACTTACAGCTTAAAAGAGAGACTACTTTATTACTTCTGTATTCTTTGGAAATCCAAAATAGCTATTTAAGACTTCATCATTGCAGAGCTTCATGTCTAATCTCATTAAATGAAATAGTGTGATGAAACCTTCAGCACAAACTTCCCTCTTCTTTCTTCTTTTTTTTTCTTTCTTTTTTTTTTTTTTTTACAACAGAAATGTTCCTAAAATAAGCCTGTGTAACTTGCAAAATAGACCTAAATGAAAAACAGATTCACATATTCATGTAGATGATTTAGCAGTAATATTTCTAACAGTGGGAGTTTGCAAATATTATCAAATCCATATTCATGTTTTATGACAACTGACCGATGAAAACCAGAAGCTATTCTGACACACATTTTAACCCATTTTTCTGCTACCGGAATGAATATGAGCACAAATGTCTTCCTGGTTAAACTTTTGTTCATTTGACTGAAATGTGAAGATGTGTCATGTCCTCAGCTGAGTTCCAGAACTACTCAGGATGTCATGTAGCATTTAATTTCAAGCCCCATTTAGAAAAAAGAATTAAACATCTAACCTGGAACAGCTATCCTCCCAGCTGTTGGATGATTCATTTCCATCACAAGTCCATTGTGCAGAACCTAGGAAAAAAAAACAATCAAACACGTATGTAATAAAAAATAAGACCAGTTCCTAAACTCAAGAGGAAAAAAAAAGAGATAAATATTATCACATCTTTTCACAAAAAAAAAAAAAAATCTGAAAATACAGGGAGCTACAATTCAAATAATTTGCTTCATTCATAAATTTAAAGCCCTGATGTTTGACACTACTCTCTAAGCATCTAAATAAATGCTTCAGTAAGACTTTACATGTCTAACATATCTTTAAACTCCAACATCAAACATATGAAACTGAGCTGCAAGCCTGTCATGCTTTCAACCACTGACAGACAACTGGTACCAACATGGAATGAGAATTAAAACCTTCACCCACTTTCGCTTTTAATCTGCAGTACGTATTGAAGGCCTTTACATAGCTTATGCTCTTTAGTTATTTTTCATTGTTAATCAGTTGCTTTTGAGCTCGTGATGGATCACACTATGAAATGCTGTCTTAGTAGCTCTTACAAACATTTAGTAAAGATGACTTATTTTTGATGTTGTTTCTGTTCTTTCAAGTGGGTAGCCATGCTTCAGTCCCGTGTATATCTGTATCAGTTGACTGTTCATCACAATTTCCAGTTTCTTGTTATTAACCTCGACCAGAAAACAATGGATGATAACAAAATTCTCAAGTAACAAAGAAATTCATAACAGCAAGCTCACTGCTATTGTTAATAGAATCCTGCATCCAAAGCCAATAAGCAATCTTTATCATTTCCTTACCTATTATTCTGCCACCCTTCTAACACTGTTAATCACATAATCAGAATCAATCACATAATCAGAACTCTTAAAAATTAGTTATTTAATGAATTATCCTCTACGAAAAAAGCCTCCCATTAACCAATTATTTTTATATCTGATTTAACAACAAGTCTAGAGTGCCTTGCCAAATGTATCAGCTATAGAAAGTGAAAGATGGGCAAAGACTGTTAAGTGATCATGTAATACATCTACCTATTCACCCCTGCTCCACGAACAACACTAGCAACCTTGACTATTAGTGGCAAGTGTTGGTCTAATTATTCTTGAAAATTTTCAGTTAATGAGATGACAATTTTCTTATGTAGTCTGCACCATATTCCCTATTTTTATTTTTAGAATTTTTTTCCAGATACATAATCTAAACATCTATGCTTTGTATTAAACATATTTATTCTTGGTTTGTTTTTTTTTCTTTTCCCCAACTGGACACAGAAAACCAGTCACTAGCATCTTTATAACATTCTTTTACGTACTGGAAGATTGTAATCACAACCTCCCTCAGTTTGCTCTTTTCTAGACTAAACAAAACTAATTCCTTTAACTATTCTTTCCAGGTCAAATTTTGTGAACCTTTTATCTGTGTAGAATAGCACGCCTAAGAAATTCTCATTTCTGAACAGGTGGTGTCAAAAGGTCAGGTCAGTTTTCTCTTAGTTTGTAGGGTGAGCCTATTTAGCTGACATTTAGAAATCCAGATATTTCTGATAATAGGTGCTGGTGGAAGAATGTCTGTTCACCAGTCTAATTGTTTGGCCCTGTACCAAATCATTAGTTCTATTTCTCTTTCAGAAGGCTAACTCCAGTTTTGGTAGACATTTAAGTGAGACATCCAGATTTTTTTTTTTCCCAATGACAGAATCGGAAAATGTAATTGCTTGTTCTAACTCATATTTAGAATCTTTCCAGTTACGCCCTTAATCAAGCAGTATTGAAAGTTTGGCCTCCTTTCTCCGTAACTCACACAGGCTTTCTTTATGCATTTAATTGAAGATTTATGACCTGAATGCAAGAAACACGCCTATTTGAACTTGAAATCAACAGCACACTCAGGTGCATAAGCAGTTTAGATGGCAAATTAAAGGCTGTAACTAAAAGTGGCACAATTTGATTAAAGAAAAACATACAGATTCTCTAGCAGCTGCTCAGCGCTCCACAAAATTCATGCCTTCCTGTGTTCTGGGTCTCTAAATTCTTATTCTAATAAGGCAGACATATTCCTTTTAAAATATTTCCTTTTGTTGGACTCACATTCCATCCCCCTTTTCTTTAAATAATTTCTTTCCTTTAAGAAAAACCAGCCGTGTCTTTGAGGATCACCAGTCTAACTTCTATTCCCTTTTAAAAGAATTAAGATGAAGTCAAGCTTCCTTTCCATTTTTATGATAAGTACAGTGTTGATTTTCCCTCTCAGACACATTATTTCCTAAAAAATACTGCAATTGTCATTACTCTTTATTACTCTTATTTTCTACACTTACATCTTTTCTTTTGAAGAAAACAACCCCCAAGAAATGAATCTGGACAAAGACGGGTTTTTTCCCCCATCAGCAACATCGTTTAAAAGAACTGTGTAATTTCGTGTTTCATGTGTTCCACTATTAGGATTCCCAAAAAGAAACTGAAAAAACTTCACCGACTCCTCCTTATGTGCATTCTAAAAACTATGAAGGAAACATATAAGATTACTGCATCTTAGAATTTGGGAGAATACAATGTTCATGTCCATTATCATGAAAGACAAGGAAAGTCTGAGGACAAACTAAGAAACAGAACTTGAAGGCTGCCTTCTCCATTGTCTTATACCTCTCAAACGGTCACAATCCTTCTGATGTGGTGGAGTGCTCTATCCCCTTTGTATTTACCTTAGCTCAGTATAAGGAACTGATTAATCAAGAAGATCATGTAAAAGATGACAGCCATCAGTAGATTTTTTTTTTTTCCCATATGGCTTACTTCCCAGACTAGAAATAGTCATTACTATATTATCTGTTCCCATTTGAGATTTTCTGAATCAAATTTATGTTTGGGTGGCATTTTACACTGAATATAACAGGATCATTGTAAGAGAATCAAAAGCAGAGTCTTCTGTCTTCCAGTAATAACCTTTTCATGCCATTTCATTTGAGTCAAAATACAGTAATCTTGTCGATTAAAGATGGAACCTTTCTTGTCTGTCTACTGGTTAATGAAAAGAATACCTGATGTAATTGTTTTGTAATCTTAACAATAGCACTAGTAGTGTCCTCCTGTTATTTGTGACATATTTAGGTAAGATTTTTTTTCCTGTTTGTACATGTTTATGTCTTTTCTCATGACACCTAGAAGTGTAAAGGAAAAGTCTCTCCTATTTGCAAGAAAAAAGAAATTACACAACATGAAATAGCAAAAAAAAATATCTCCGCATTCTACTGAAGTCAACAGAAGATAGGGCTGATCTGATTCGTGCCATCTATTATAATGATTCCTGCATCAACTTTTGTTACATAATATGTGGGGTTTTTTTAAAACTGCCTTGCAGTCTGAATTTGAAAAAAAACTATATAGATATTATATATACAATGAAAAATAGATATAATTCTCTATCATTAGTTGCTACAATTCTGCTCTGGGATTATTTATTTTATATGTAGACAGTAGCAGATTTGTCCATGTTACAAAAAGAAAACATTGTTTGGTGATGGATAAAAACAACAGAAGTCACTATATTTTAAATTTATTTAGTCAGTATAGGTTATTACATGACTTTATTCAAACTACAGCAAATAGAACAATTCATATGATTATGCCTTCTAACCTCAGAGAATAAAAGAATTCAATTAAAAAACTACTTCAATATTATTTTCCCAATACTATATATAAGGAAGTCCACCTAGAATCTTTTAAGCAAAGATCTTAACATTTTAGTTGTGTAATGCAAACCAAGGGTAATTTAATATATTTCACCATGTATATTCTCAGTTGTTTCATCATTTCCTCTTAGCTTGTCATGAGAAAAACCATGGAGGATACTTACATCAGCCGTTATGAAGCTCACAGTAATTCGGATATAATAACTTCAATGATTAATTTTGCTCTTTTCCCTAACGTTGTTAATAACAACAAGTTAAAAAGTGGTTAAAATTTTTATAACAGGCAGAGTTAAAATCCCTTAGCCATCTGATTTCACAAGGAGGATCAAATATTAACTCTATTTATTTCTTGTATTCTCACCTTGTTCAAAACAATTACTCAACTGACACTACTTTTCTGCATGAATATTTATATTACCAGTGGGCATGTTCAGTTCAATATTGTAATTTTTATTTTGATATTTGAGTCTCCTTTGAGTCTCAAAAGCTAAGTGACATATAGGGAAGAAAATGAGAATAAAATGAACTTCAAAAGAAATATAATTATGATATAAAAATAAAATATGGCTGCAGAAACAATTTTAAATTTCATCTTCATGTAAAAGACTTGCAAGGTTGAAAATCTCGATTCAAATAAGGGCTTTATCTTTGACCGCTTGGGACTAAAGACTCATTCTTTACATGATCATATGGTTCAAGCAGTGGTGCAAGATACTTTTTCAACTTTCACAGCTCTTTCAAGGAAAAAGGTGAAACTGCCATTTTTCTATGACTGTATTGTTTCTTAAAGTAGTAAGACGTACAGACTACTAACATGTATGGTGGCTTTCTTTGAGACATGTGTGAGCACCTATTTATCTATCTAAAAACAGCTAGAAAAAATATCACCACGCAGGATATGGCTTCAGGATGGTTTTAAAAAAATCTGTTTTTTCTTGGACACTCCACAACTTCTAAGAATATCTGATGCTTGATGTTGGGTCCCTTAATTGATAGATATAATAACAATAAATATACACAAAGGTTCTTCTGATAAAATGATTGCATAGCAAAGTAATAAAAGCTGTGAAACAGAAATTAATTGTGAATGCTATTATAACAAGTATTAATCTTCCTTGCATCCTTCAAAAATGAATGGGTCTCTTACATGTTAAGGAAGTAAAATACTTCATTTTATTATTGATGCTGCAGCACAAATCACAGGTCGGAAAAGCAGAAACATGGCTTCTGCCTTTCTTCATGTGGATAATGGGGTGTTTGGCCACCTAGTAAACATCTGGCAAATTCTGCAATTATCGTAAGGTTCATTTCATATCGTGTTAGTTCATTTCAACTGTAATGTAACTGATTATACATGTAACC